GGAGTACAGCAGTAGTAATTATAGTTGTAGTACTATTTATAGGAGTACAGTACAGTATAGTAGTATATGTAGAATAGGTAGTAGTATTTATACCGCAGAAGTACAGTAATGCAGTACAAGAGTTGTAGTAGTAATAGTTGCAATAGTAGTATTTACAGGAGTACACTAGTAGTATAAGTTTTACAAGAAGTAGTATTTATACAGTAGTAGTATAAAGTACTGTATAGAGTACAGTAATAGAAGTACCGGTAGTAGCAGTAGTAGTAATAATAAAAGGAGTACAGCTGTAGTAGTTGTAGTTGTAGTAGTATGTATCGTATCGTGACTTATGTATCGAGGTATGTATCATATCGAGACTTATGTATCGAGGTATGTATCATATCGTGGCCTACGTATCGAGGTATATATCGTATCGTGACTTATGTATCGAGGTATGTATCATATCGTGACTTATGTATCGAGGTATGTATCGTATCGAGGCCTACATATCAAGGTATGTATCATATCCTGACTTATGTATCGAGGTATGTATCATATCGAGGTCCAGGTATCGAGGTATGTATCGTATCATGACTTATGTATCGAGGTATATATCGTATCGTGACTTATGTATCGAGGTATGTATCGTATCGAGGCCTATGTATCGAGGTATGTATCATATCGTGGCCTACGTATCGAGGTATGTATCGTATCGTGGCCTACGTATCGAGGTATGTATCGTATCGAGGCCTATGTATCGAGGTATGTATCATATCGTGGCCTACGTATCGAGGTATGTATCATATCCTGACTTATGTATCGAGGTATGTATCGTATCGAGGTCCAGGTATCGAGGTATGTATCGTATCATGACTTATGTATCGAGGTATGTATCGTATCGTGGCCTTTGTATCGAGGTATATATCGTATCGTGACTTATGTATCGAGGTATGTATCATATCGTATGTATCGAGGTATGTATCATATGACTATGTATCGAGGTATGTATCATATCGTGACTTATGTATCGAGGTATGTATCATATCGAGGCCTATGTATTGAGGCATGTATCGTATCGACAGCTTCTTAATAATCCCCAGTTCTACTCATCACGATCGTCGACGCACACACCGAGTTTTACGCTGGTTTTAGTTTCCCTTTTGCGCCCGTCGGCTCGGCAGGGTCGGCAGGGTCGGCAGGGTCGGCAGGGTGCCCCCCCCCTCAAACCCCCGTCGCCCCCGAAACGGCGTCGCCTTTAATCACGTCGTGCCTGAGGGACGTGAGGCGGCGCTAACGACATTAAATGGAGATGAGGTATTGATTACAGTCGGCCGGAGTTAAACGAGAGTCTCCTCCACTCTCCCTGCCTCCGTCCATCTGTGTGTGTGTGTGTGTGTGTGTGTGTGTGTGTGTGTGTGTGTGTGTGTGTGTGTGTGTGTGTGTGTGTGTGTGTGTGTGTGTGCGGCGCATCGATCCGAGCACACAGGGACGATTCATTACCCAAACCTGGACGGGGCGCTGGAGGTCAGAGGTCAGGAGGTCAAACGTCAGGGGGTCAGCCAGATGGCCAAACATACAACAACTGATAGAGAAGAAGAAAAATATGTGTGTGTGTGTGTGTGTGTGTGTGTGTGTGTGTGTGTGTGTGTGTGTGTGTGTGTGTGTGTGTGTGTGTGTGTGTGTGTGTGTGTGTGTGTGTGTGTGTGTGTGTGTGTGTGTGGTGCAGCTACAGGCGCCGGACGCACAAAGTACTACTCAAAAACTCACAATAAAGTACTTACAAGAGTCTTAAGTACTCAACAACCCCACTATGATTCAATCACTTCTGCTTTTTATACACTAGAAGTACAGTTATAGTAGTAGTATTTATAGGAGTACAGAAGTACAGCAGTAGTAGTAGTAGTAGTAGTAGTAGTAATAGTATTTATAGCAGTACCGTAGTAGTAATAGTATAAGTAGTAGTATTTATACAGTAGAAGTACAGTCATAGTGGCAGTATTTATAGTAGTACAGTAGTAGTAGTAGTATGTGTAGTAGTATTTGTAGTAGTACAGTAGTAGTAGTAGTAGTAGTAGTAGTAGTAGTAGTAGTAGTAGTAGTAATATTTATACAGAAGTACAGTAGTAGTAGTAGTAGTAATAGTATTTATAGCAGTACAGTAGTAGTAACAGTATAAGTAGAAGTATTTATACAGTAGAAGTACAGTAGTGTAGTAGTAGTAGTAGTAGTAGTAGTCATAATAGTAGTATTTATAGTACAGCAGTAGTAGTTGTAGAAGCAGTAGTAGTAATAGTAGTAGTAGTAGTAGTATTTATACAGCTGAAGTACAGTAGTTGTAATAGTAGTAGGAATAGTAGTATTTATAGGAGTACACTAGTAGTATAAGTTTTATAAGAAGCAGTATTTATGCAGTAGTAGTAGTAGAAAATACTGTATACTGTACTACTGTATGAATATAGTAATAGAAGTAGTAGCAGTAGCAGTAGTAGTAGTAATTGTAGAATGAGTACAGCAGTAGTTGCAGTAGTAGTAGTAGTAGTAGTAGAATTTATAAAGTAAATGTACAGTAGTAGTATTTATAGAAGTACAGCAGTAGTAGTATTTTACAGTAGAATTACAGTCATAGTAGTAGTAGTTATAGGAGTACAGTAGTAGCAGTAGAAATATTTGTACAGTACAGTAGTTGTAGTAGTAGTAGAACAGTAGTAGTAGTAGTAGGAGGAGGAGGAGAAGGAGGAGTATTAATAGGAGTACAGTAGTAGTATACGTAGTAGGATTTATACAGTAGAAGTACAGTAGTAGTAGAAATATTTTTACAGAAGTACAGTAATAGGAGTAGCAGTAAATATTATTACATTAGTACAGTATGTAGTAGAAATAGTAGCAGCAGTAGTAGTAGTATAAGTAGTAGTATTTATACAATATGAAGCTCCTACATTACTCCATCGAAGGCCATGTACCCGATTTTTTCATGTATCTGAGCAAAATGTTTTCAGAAACAGAAAGTGTGTGGTTAGCATGCTAGTTGTTGTGTGCATTAACGTCTCTGGTCTCTTCAAAGTTGTGGAAAATCTCGTACAAAATCGTCACGGTCAATAATTACGACGCTCTGAATGTGTAAAGTCAAGGAGGAAGTACTTCGAACCACTGCAAACTGTTTTATAATGAACTACTTCTGTTTTTCACGTTTTTAAGAAACTAAAAAAATCAGGAACAGCGCCTTTAATACGACATTAATTTCGGATTAATTATGTTTAAAAACTTGAAAACAGATCATCCAGCGCGTCTGAACATGAGAAGAACTATGAAGCAATGCCACGAAATGTATACTTTCTCTCAAATAAAACTAGAATAAAGACAAATAAAGTTTAAAAAAAATTACAGGACTAAAACTAAAAATTATTTAAGACAAAACATTAAAACTAAATTCAAATTCCTTGTCAAAATTAACACTGGTTAGAGTTATCTGGATGGGAAATGAAAAAAAATTATTATAATTTTATATTTGTATGTAAGTATTTTGTATTTTTTGTGTACAAAGAAAACAAAAATTTAAAAAAAATGTAAAAAGGAAAATAAATAAGTAATAGAAATAATACTAAATATCAGTCTTTAGGTCTGAGGGTCCAGTCTTTGGTCTTTGGTCTTTGTTGTGGAGACGGCAGGTGTGCTGAGCCGAACACTGTCTGTCCCCGGCCCCTTCAGAGAGACAGGGCCAGTTTCCATGACGACCGGCTCAGTGACCCCCAGCCCCCCCCCTCCACACACACACACACACACACACACACACACACATATACACACACACACTCGCTCCTGTGGACAGATACTCGCTGCTAATCGTGATGAGAACACATCATGTCATTCAGAGTCTGGTCGTGTCCCAGAATGCCTCATGTGTGTCATGGAGCTGAGGCCGTGATCCTCTGCTCACCTCTGATATTATATTATTATTATTATTATTATTATTATTATTAATAATAATAATAATAATAGAGTCTTGGTGGATGTATTAACACTGTTCTGCACTGTTACATCATGAAGATGATACTGAAGTCATGTCATTCACTGTGCACCAGAACCTGACCAGAGCCTGACCAGAGTCTCACACCAGAACCTGACCAGAGCCTGACTAAAGACTGACCAGAGCTTCCTGCATTCCTGAGCCACTTCAACCGTGCACATCACAGGTCACAGGTCACAGGTCACAGGTCACACTCAAAGAGCCTCTTGTCTGTGGAAATAGAATCAGCCCCACAACAGAGTCTGTATATACTGTATATATATATATACATACTGTATATACTCTGTATATATATACTGTATATACTGTGAATACTGTGTAGATATTTTGTATATATTCCTTAGATATTCTGCATATCCTCTGTATGTTTAGTCTATGTTCTGGTTCTGGTTCTGGTCCAGGTGTCAGTGATAATGAGGCTCTGTGTCTCAGACCTTTGCGCCATTATAAACGTGAGTCTCTGATGTTTGTGACACCAACAGTGACAAAAGTGACCGACTCCACACCGCAGAGTGTGAAGAGCCGGCATCAGCAGGAGCCGTGAGCCGTGAGCCGTGAGCCGTGAGCCGTGAGCCGTGAGCCGGCTCCGGCTCCGGCGTTAGCTGCACCGCTGTCTGTGGGATGCTAGTCTCGTCACCTCTGAAACCTCCGGCCTCACGCTCGCGCTGCCGCTGCAAAACACAACGGCCACGTACAAACCCGAGCACTTCCTGCAGCGGAACACGCTCCACAAACACGCACACCGCGGATTAGCCTTAAACCCGCAGAATACACGCGCTAAAGTGCGGACAGCGCGCAGAGCTCAGCCCCGGAGCCGCGCAGGAGCCGCGGGAATAGCGGAATGCGGAGCTGTGTCCGCGCACTGCTAACTAGCAGAGCCGCTAGCTGCGCTACGGCTGTGCGCCGAGTCTGTGCGCTGAGTCTGTGCGCCGTGTCTGCGGCTAACTCCAGCCCCCCCGCCCGTCCCCCTCCCACGGCCCCACGGCCCGTGACTTACCGATGTGATTGTCCTCGATGTGGACGATGAGCTCGGCCAAAGACTCGAACTGGAGACCGCAGCCCCCGAACCTGCAGGAATTGGAGAAGAACGACGCCGCCGCGATGCCCGTCATGGTGCACGCCGCGGGATGAAGGGGTTCGGGAGCCGGGGCGGTGAGCGAGGAGCGAGGAGGCGCAGGCTTCGGGTCCGGGGAGGGAGACACCGGGCGGGCGGCGGAGCAGACAGGACAGCGGCAGACGCAGCTGGAGGCAGGCGGGACGGCGGTGGGGGATGGGGGCAGGAGGTGGGCTGTGCGCTACGTCACGACCTGAGCTCCAGTACCGCCGGAGCCGGAGCCGAGAGCCGAGAGCCGAGAGCCGAGTCTACCTGTGGAGAGAAGAGCCTGTCTGTGGCCCCCGAACACACGCGCACACGCACGCGCGCGCACACACACACACACACAAACAGTGAGGTGCGCGCGCAGGGGTTTAGCGCCTCACAATCCACACCTGTGCGCGCGGGGGCAGATTGGGGCAGATAGGGGCAGACAGGGGCAGACAGGGCTCTGCAGGGTGACCATTGTTAAAGCTTCAGACTCAATCAAAGGTTCAGAGTGTTTGTGTTTCTGCTTAAATAGTGTTTGAAATGCCCACAGGTCTATTTGCTTCTGTTCTGTTCTTTTGTGTTTCCAAAACACACGGAGGCTCTGGATGTTATATTTTATCTTGTCACTGTTGCCCCGACACTAATGTTCAGGTTTATTACATGAGCTTGTGTTTCAGTTTGGGGAGTGATTCTGAAGATACTGTGAAAGGTTTGACTTAGATCAGAAGTGTAAAATAACACCAGGTCCACAGGTCGACAGCACTGATCATAATGAGGCCTGTTCAGTTTATCACAGTAACACTCACTGTTTTATTTTTGTGTATAATGTTTATTTATTTGCACAGTACTGATTATGTCAGAGATAAGCTTTAACATGTTTGAGGAGGCTGTTTTATCTTTTAGGACACAAGACAAACTCCACTTATAACCATGTGTAACTTTGAAGAGATGAAGTGTGGAAAACAAAGACAAACTCAAACTCTGCTCTTTTTATAGTTCACAAAAACAGCAGCAGTGCACTGCGGGTTTTTCAGTTCCCGTACTGATTTCAAAGTATCTGCCAACTAACCGAGACTGAAAATTGTGTTTAATTCCTTTCAACCAAAATAAAATAAGACAAAACTGATTCAAAATTCTTATGTTGCTGCTCGTTCTTTAGAAAACAGAATGTTATTTTCAATATTAAACGGTAGTGCAGTGTTCCAAAGATGCAGAACTGCTTTTGGTCAGTCATCGTTCTCGTCTGAACTCCTTTGAACATGAAATCACATCATGTACAAACGATGAAATGTTTCCACGACGAACCAAACAATGACCAAACAACTTCTTTCACCAAACAAACCTGTACACAAGAATCTGCCCTGTGTGAATCCAGCAGCATGAACTGTAAATATGTAAATACCATATTTTTTGGACTATAAGTCTCACTTTTTTCATGGTTTGGGTGTTTCCTGTGACTTATACTAAGGTGTGACTTATATATAAACATTTTCAGACTGACAGTCACAAGAGGGCGCTCTAGGCTCACGTGTCAGTATCTAGACTCCTGTACCACCGTCACTTCGCTCTACTGCACATGTCTCCTGCAGTCTTGCTGCAAATAGTGAAATATTCAGCTGAAAACGGTAATCGAGCAGCAGAAAGAAAGTTTGGAGTGAACGAGAAACTTGTGATTGACTGGCGGAAATCTGGGATGGAGAACACAGTTTCTCGGCAACTGTGTGGGTGTCATGAAACTTTCCTGAAGTCACTGGATGGACAAAGTCTGGACTTCAGTGACACTGAAACCATCCTGTCGAGATTCAGAAAGACACAAATAATTCTAACTGGAACTGATGCTGAGTCTGACGACAGCGACACAGAAGAGGAAGCGGCGCAACGTTTACCTCCAGAGGACGAGGAGTTGTTCAGAAGTGACACGAGGATGAAGAATTGAATGGATTTAGTGATTTGGAGTGAGATGGAGAGTTTGTTAAACTTATGTTATGTTGTTTATGCTATAGTCAGTGTTGGGAGTAACGCGTTATAAAAGTAAAAGTGACACACGCAGTAACCGTCAGGTGACCACGGGCGAAAGGACTGACGCAGAACTCCACGCTCCACGGGGCGAACCGCAGCTGTCCCCCGATCACGCTTTGCAGAAACCCTGTCTGCAAAGCGCTTCCAAGTTCTAGTCTAAGATTAGTCCTGGTTCAGTTCTGGTTCAGTTCTGGTTTAGTTCTGGTTTAGTCCTGGTTCAGTCCATATACGGTGCAAAAGTTCAGCATCTTCACAGTTATTTTGTTGAGAGTAACTGCAATAATCATGTAATATTTTACATTTTAAATACAGTAATATTGTAATGTAACTAATAACTTTGAAATGACAGTAATGAGTAATAAATAACGCTTTACAGTTTTAAAGTAACTTGCCCAACAGTGGTTACAATTATCTGAATAACTGTTCATATTTTACATTAACATATAGACGCCTGTTCAGTCTGTTGTTCTCTGTTCTGTTGTTTTTACTGGAACTTGACTTTACACATGAAATGTCAGTTCCTGGTCTTTGATTTTACAAAATACATTTCCCCAAAAAATGCGACTTATATGTGTTTTTTTCTTCTTCATTGCGCATTTTTTGGCTGGTGCGACTTATACTCTGGAAAAATACGGTAGTGGATGGATGTGGAGACCGAGATTCACTGGGCCATGTATGATTTCAACCTGATTTTGAATTTATACATTTATACTTTTTACTTTTTGTTATTATATTATATTATGAGTCTAAGTCTTATCTGTCCAGGGACTGAAGGTGAAAATGAGCAATTTTGACTGATACAAACATATGACCTCTTTGTGTAGGTCAATGTTTTATGTGCATTGTCCTGAAAATAAACTAAAACTAAACTAAACTAGTACTTTCTTTTTCTGTTTTTCCCATGTGGCCTTGTATCTGTGTAATCCCGGGTTTCCTCTGGTGATCTTCCTCTACAAAACAAAAATACCAGAGAGCCAGTTTAGCGGTAAATAAAAGAGCCGTGGATCATTTATTTGAGCATTTTCCTGAAAATCTCGACAAATTCTTTATTAACAGTTATTCAGAATGATGTTATTATATTAAAACGATGCTATGAGGTTAAAGACGTGCGAAAAGATTTGATCAGATTTTGGCTGTTTGTGACGGACATGACCAGACGTCCCTGTTGCCCGGGACAGTCCCAGTGTTGAGCCCTGTGTCCCCTGTCCCAGCAGATTTATCCAAAGCCACTTATTTGTCCCAGTTTTATATAAGAAATAACAGGCTAGGACACAGGTAGCCAGATTCATCAGTCGGTTTCACTTCGTGGAAACCGTCTGACCTCGCAGCATTAGGATTCGTTCGCTCGACGGTAGGCGGGGACTTTTTTAAATTTAAGCAGTCGCTGCTGTTTGGTCGTGACGTATGTAAAGCTCCAAATCCCGTAGGAAGAAGGACAATAACGTCTTTCCTCTTGATAAAATTCACCAAACATTCTCTTTGTTCCGGCTTTAAATCCTCGATCTCAGGAATCGTTGTCAACACTGAATGTCTGTCTTTGTCTACATTAGGGCTCATATCCAACCGACTTTGATCCTAAAGGGGCCGGATCAGAAAACTCACATCATATAAACCCCAAAAATAACAATAAGTTCAAATATTTGTGCAGAGAAACACAAATCTATTACAGAAATCTTTTTTAATTGATGAACTCTTTCTTTTACAAAATATTATAATATTATGAACAACCTGAAACTTTAAGGAAAATACAATTTCAACACAATATTTTAACATGAACTTGTATAAATAGGAATAAGTAAATTTTTGTTGTAAAATCCTGCACTCGGCTCCACTTTTTTCTCATGTTGGACATTTTTCTGATGAGGGTGTCACGGTCAACAGTCAAAACGATCGTCCTTTAAGAGCGTTTGGAAAGAGACAAGTCTTCATTTGTGCTGCTCTGGTGGGAGGGGCCACGTACAGAGACGCTGGAGACGCTGCTGTGATAAACACCACAGAAAATTAACAAGATTTTAGTAAAAAATAGAATTAAAATATTTTAGTAGAAAATCAGCCGAGGGCCAGATTAAAGGTCTTGGAGGGCCGGATCTGGCCCCCGAGCCGCATGTTTGACACCTGTGGTCTACATCCATCTTGGCTGCGTTCACACTGCAGCCTGAAGTGACCCAAATCCGATTTTTTGGCTTCTATGTTCCTGTATCTGATCTTTTAATGTCAGTCTGAACCACACAGATCTGATTTTTTCCAATGTGACCCAGGACACTTGGATATGTGCTCCTGAAACTGATACATATCTGATCTTTTGACATGTGACTTCAGTGTGAACGGCCAAAGTGCATTCATCCACCTACACGTTATCAACAAGACACAAACGTCACTATTCTGCGCTGAAGTCGGAGAAAATTATTAATGAACTCTGTGTGACTGAAGTGAAGCACATCACCACTCACCACTCTTGGCTCCGTCTCCACATCCACACGTTCCTTTCAACGGACTGAACCACAAAACACCACGACCAAAAACCTCGTCCTTCTCCTTCTCAATCTCCTCCTTAAAACAAGTAAGTTGTTCATGTTCTGGCTCCGGTACGAGAGGAACTTTAAAATCTCCAGGTGCTCGATGCTGCGTCCATGTTTGGACAACTTCTGTAAACACAGAGACGCTCGCTGCGGTTGACGTCGTCGTGTCTCCAGTGTCACATGTGGGACACTTTTCGGGCCGTTTAATGTTCACACTGGAGTCACATACAAGTCACATTTAATTGGAAATGCGAACGACCTCGCGAAAACATCGGATTTCACAAAAAAATCGGAATTGAGCGTTAAGCCCTGCAGTCTGAACGTAGACTTAGACATTTTTTGACGTAACAACATGAAACGTGGAACCATTAGGATGACACTCTGCCCCTGGTTTGAGAGACACAGAGAAAACAGACAAACTAACAGTAGGACACACAGACACACGTTCCTTGCATTAATAAACAGATATTAACAGTGTTGTAGTGGAGACAGGTCTAAACCAGGTCTAAACCAGAACTAAACCAGAACTAAACCGGGATTAATCTTGGACTTGAGAGAGAGAGAGAGGGAGAACCCCAAGCCCTCGGAGCAGGGTGTCCACAAAGTACGTTCGGG